GAACAAACAAACAGATTGAAATATTAGATCTTGATAAGATTAGATGAAGATTAAGTATTAACATCGAATTACATCACGATAAAAAAACCGTAAATCGGAGTATTCGGCTTAGCGGGCTTTGTTTCGTCACATTCACACACACTCCCGTCCTCGTGGGAATATTTGCAAATACCCAACCAACTTGTAATCCGCAGCTGTTCTTTCGATATTATATTATGTTGGGCGATTGAAAGCAGGATATATGCCTGCCACGCACAATATCAACGCTATGAAAGATAATACAAAAGTCGTTTTTATTGTCTTTAGGATAACATATTATCGCATAATGGCCTTTAACACATATAACCCATCTATTAATTGCCGTTCTTGTCATAATCAGGTTTGCGTACGAATTGGGGTTTTCTGTGGGGGGGGTGAGAGCCAGATCACAGCATCAATTGAATTGTGAAACAGAGCATTTATTGTTTTTAAATGTGCTAAAAATGCATAATGATGATCCGATTCAACTACTTTACAGAAAGAACGTACTACCTGAACCGATTGAATAGTCCTTTTTTTAATTGGGGTTGCACGAGGATACAATATGAATGATACAACATAGTTGCCCCCCCCACTTTACGAAATGCCCCGATTTGGGGATTTCTATGTACAAGTACGCCACCCACTAAGATCTGTAAACAATAGTTTTATGGTAACAAAGTAACAAAGCCTCTCGCAAGCAAGCAAGCTTGTAAAACCTTTCTCGGCCATAAAGCTGCAAGTTTCTATAATTACAGTCTGTAAAGTCTCTATGAGTTAAACGTTAACCTTAAACTTGCAGAGAGAAAAAACAACCAGGGGTTATAAGCCAATCATCCGAGGCTGTATAATTTAAAGAGTAATTACTATGAATGCGAAGGGTATGCAATACACGGCCGTGCAATACCGTGTGACATACAATAACTCCCCCCTTTTTTCTGTAGGAATAAGCATTAGCATTAGTATTAGTAATGCCGTTGGAATTGATATAATTATTCAGTATAAATTTTAATTGCATGTTTTCTCATTCTCAATTCCTATTGGACTCCCCTTCTGGGATCAGCCCACTTCCCATATATTCCGGTATGGTTTGATTATGACGCAATCGGGAGTTGTACAAATTCTACTTTAAACATAAATACATAACCGCATACATTACAACAATGGATTTCACAAACTATATATATAACATACACCCAACCCAACAATTTTTTGTTGACATTCACATTCCCGCTTTTATCAACAAATAACCCTTGGATCAGAATATTATTGCAACTTGCCATTCCATCACTGTAAACTGAACCTATATTTAAATAATTCAACCAAAAATGGTCCACGCACTCTCTATCAAACCTTATACGATCTTTCAAATCCGCTTAGAAAATGATACCCTGACTATGCGTGGTGCTCCTCAAGAGTCCGTTGGATGTGTGCTGCGCGGGCAGCTGGTACTCGCTCTGTCCGAAACCACCAAAGTTAAAGAGATTAAACTGGTATTTGAAGGAAAGTCGAAAGTGACATGGATGGATCGTGAGTAAATTCGATCTGATAATACCAATTGATTTT